AGTTTAGAGACTATAATGCCAAAGCAATGGCTACAGAATGACCTGAAAATTCTAATCTCCAACTACAAGCACCAAGAAGAATGCAGACAGGGAATGGCTTGAATCATCTAGCAGAGACGCTGTTATATCATCACAAATTATGTAATTCTCTTTTACAATTTAGTGTTAAGTTAGAATGTGCTCTTTTAAAGATATAGCTTTGGAGCTCAATTTTCTTGTCAACTTCTCACAACTACTTTCAGTCATGTGATATGTGGGGACATTGTGAGAAATGCCCTCCAATGTGGGGGTCCCTGGATATTTCTGTGGCGCATTTTCAAGTCTGCTGTTAGCAGTGCTACCTTAGGCGGTTGGACATGGGCTTTATATTAGTAGGTTAACAAATCACAGGAAGTAAATTATTAGTGGAAATTTCTGGCTCAAAGTCCCTGCTTAACTCCCTATCTTAATTTGTTTCTGGATGATTTGTTAGATGAGCTGTCAGTCAAATATAACTTTTCCTTCTACATGTTCATTTGAATCATGGTCATTATTACATCTACAAGAAGCAAGCACACACAGTAGACAGTGGCACTGGATAAAAGATATGCACAAAACCTTCATGCACTTGTCTACCTAATTTGACTTTAAATAATGTTCCTAAGTGCTCATTTTCAACATAAGAGTCCAAGGTTTCCTTTATAGTTTGTTTCTGTAGTGATGGTATTCTGAGTAAAAACCTCACACATACGAAGAAATTTATTTTGCTTATCTTCATGTCATAAAGGTCTCATTAGGCAGACTGTATAAGTACAGTGTTCGCTCGTTTAGAGTTGATTTCTTCTGTATGGTAAATGATCATATGCATAGAATAAATGTCATTAAAATATAACTATAAATAAAAACTAAAAATGAATGCTGAGATTATTGGCAAGTTTTACAGTATGTATTGACAAATTATTTACTTTAAAAAATTTGCTGTGTAGATATAAAATATAGGAAACTAGCAAAGAAGACTGAACCTTATATAAAAGCATTCATAACTGTGGAGGTATGAATGAAAATAAAAACCATTAGCATGCATTGTGCCTATATCACCATCAATTATCTTCTGACTCTTCCTTGGTGTCACTGACACAGTGGTCCATATATGGAGCTCTACAGGCACAAGTATAAAGCACTACCCCACATTAGAACACATTCACAGATACCATGGCAATTTCTGATTCTCTCAATATTCAGTTATTGTTGATGTTGTTGATTTTAAGACAGGTTTTCTCTGTTTAGAAGCCTTTCTGCCCTGAAACTTAGTCTGCAGATCAGGCTGGCTTGGAACTCTGAGACCAACCTGCTTCTGCCTCCCAAGTGCTACAATTAAAAAGATGTAAATCCACTGTTTGGCAATATTCATTTTTCTTAATAATCACAAAACTGAAAAACAAAGCAGAATGTGCTAAAAGGAATAATCTTAATTTTACTTTTCTCATTTCATTTATATATTTTTATGTGTCACTTTTTTTTTGTTTTTTTTTTTTTTGGTTTTTCGAGACAGGGTTTCTTTGTAGCTTTGGAGCCTGTCCTGGAACTCCCTTTGTAGACTAGGCTCGTCTCGAACTCACATAGATCTGCCTGCCTCTGCCTGCGAGTGCTGGGATTACAGGCATGCGCCACCACCGCCCGGTTTATGCTTCACTTATAATGGAAAGACAAAAGTTTTCCTCTGTTAGAAGGTAGCATGGGGAACGTATGTATCCCCAGAGACAGAGATTATTTCTTATTTAAGCAGCACTGTGTACGTCACGATACAAAACAGGCTTGAAGGTGTTATGCCATTAAACACAAAGAAGTTTTTAAGCTTTAAATCCCAGGTTTACCTATAATTTTCTTTTACTAACCAATAAAGGTAAGATTCATATTTAACTTAGTTCTACAAACATAAGCACAACTACATTTGGCTCATATCAAATATACATGGAATTTGTCTCCCTTTTTAAATATTACAATGGCAGGGAAATGAGCAATGTAATTTAAAAGAATTTTGTATCTTAATGCTTTTTATTTCAAATGTTGTTTTGCATTTTTAGCTTTTCTAACATTTTATGATACTAATCAAAGAACAAAATATAAAATATGCTTTAGTATAAAAGGCAATATGTCAAAATTATCACTACAGACAGCATCTTATGTGCTCATTTATATCAGTATGTTAGTCTATTTTATCCAATTAAAGTTATTATTTATCTTTTATGAAACTTTTATTTAGGCAGTTTATATATTTATTTATTTAATATGAATTAGTAAGAGATCATAGTTCATAAAATAATTGTACATTCTAAAATGATCAATAATAAGCACCATTAAAATATATCTACAAACAACTACAAAGTTTTCTAGGACTTAATAATTAAATCCTGTAAGTTAACATGAAAATATTATATTATTATTAAATTTTCATGTGTCTTTAGTGATTTCTGCTAAGAAAATCCTTTCTGAATTTGTATTATTGTACCTGCCTTTCCAACCTTTATCTCCTTTTTTATAAATTTGATCAGAGATGTTTATAGCCTGTGTAACAGTAGAGTAACCGTAGGGAAGGCAATCAGTCTTTCGAAGAAGATGACGGATAAATATGCATAAAATAATTGGATAAAACAAAAGTGTTTACATTTACAAAATGCGAGGGGTTTTCTTTTCTCGAGTATTAACTGTGTTTCCTGAAAGTGTTCAAGAGTAAAACAATCGTAATAATTGCAAAGATTCTAGATAACAAGTCTTACAGACACTGGGAACTCAGGGAATATTACGATTGCCAAGTGCTTGCCCAAAATAAGTCCAGGGCTTCAACTGCACTATGAGTGGAAACCAGCTAAGTGCTATTTGGGTGGATTAGTGTAGTTCCAACATCTTTTTCATATGTGGTTCTAAATAGTCATTACCGTAATGAGAATAAAACTATAGAAAGTTTAAAAATGAAAATATGTTCCCTCACCAAATCAGAAAACAGAACAAAATTAATGAAAAGATTTTCTGCAGCTATGGAAGAAGTAAAACCCTTTCTAACTCTTTTTTAATACTTTGAAAACACTAGTAGATCCTAATTTCAAAATCTATTACATCGGGACTTTTGTATTGGTACATTTTTATTCTTTCGTGATAAAGTTTTTTGAGATACATCTAAGATGTATCTATTATCCAAGCAAATATAGCATACATAATGCTTATAAATCTATGATAAAATAATTTAAACAAACTTTTTTATTTTCTTTTTTAGTTGTCTCTATAACTACTAATACAGTGAATTTAATACAAGAAAAGAAGTTTAAATAATTCATAATTTATATTTAAAATATAGCCTCAGACTGTAGTTTTATCCTTGGAATCATAGTTTATTAATGCTAGGCTTTACTGGCAGTTCCCATTCATTGCATACATTCACTTACAGTATTTTCGGAATATAATATTAAATTATTATTGAAGTCTCTATATTTTGTTGAAAGTTTTTAGAATTTTATTTTATTAAGGAATACTTATTTTGTGGTATTTTATATTCCATATGAAAATTAAAAGTGCAAAAAATATTTTTAACATTTGATCATCTTAAAAGCTACTGAGGTGCCTCATTTTCATTTGGCATCAATATTTTGAGTGTGAATTCTTGAATATCAGTCATTCATATTCCTTAAATCATGGGTTGAGGTCAGTCACTTTTCTGTTGCCAGAAAAGTGTTGTCCCTTTGTTTTTAGATAAATAAAAATATGTCAATCAGGTCAATGAATATTGAAAAGAATGACATAATTGAGAGATCCTGTAAGAGTAAAAACCACTAATTCATATACTTGCATCTGGTAACTACAGAGTCAAGGAAACTATGGAGAAAACCATATCTTCAAGCTAATGAAGACAAATACACTAATCAGAGTAGAGTCTTGAAAATTAGAGGAATGTGAAGGAAAGGGAAATGTTTGGCACAGGAGTATATTAACCTCAAATAAGGCAGTGGTTTTATTGATATCATTTAGAAGAAAATTTAAAGGTTATCAAATTTCAAATAATTCATAGATATTTTAAGAATAAAATAAAATTTAATAATTAGTGGTCTAGAGATAGAGAATAACAAAAGAACATGATGGAGAAGAACATGCCAAGGTGATCATGTCTGTTTCCACACAAGTCTATTCAATAAAGCAGTTGAGTAGAACAGAGTTTCTAGACAAGGCCAGCATCTTTGGGAGGATGGGATTAACTAGAAAATGCTCAGGACGAGTTGCTGTAATGCTGCTTTCCTGCTGTAGAGTTATACACAGTAGAGGAGTGTACGATCTACTTAGACCTACTTCTGTACCAAAGACACTAGTGAGACTACTCAAACTCTCACATTTTCTGGATAAGAAAATGATCTGACAGTCTTCACTACATCTTGAGTTTCTATTTGAATGTCATGTAAATATGAAAATGTGACTAACATTTATGACTTCCAATTTCAAATATCTTATACTAAACCAAAAACTCAAAATAGTAACAAGGGCCACATCATCTAATATTGCTGTTGCAATTAACTAATTTCAGATTAAAATGATCCAGAAATGGAACTATTGCTGAAAATTACTTTAAGTATATTTAATCATATATTAAAATGGCTCTTGAAATACTGATCATACAACAGTAATATCAGTAGAAATTTATAATCAGAAAACATATTGATTATTAAAATAAATATAAGCAGAAACTGCATTTTCAGCTAAGAGAACAAAATTAACATATCATGGCTTACCATCCAAACCCAACAAAATAACAGAACAAAAATACATGACTATTTTATATGACTTCAAGCAAAAAAAAAAAAAACAAAAACAAAAACAAAAAAACTAATCTTCTTTAAAACTTTGGAGCATATACAAATCATACTTATTCTTCATGGAAAGTGGTAAGTTTAGAATTGTGTTACCATAGCTTTAAAAGTGACAAAAAGAATCCATGGGCAAGGAAATATTTTGTGTTTTTCCTTAAATCATCTCCATAGATGAAATACACAGAAATCAGGGAAGAGCACAATGCTTCTACTGTGACACAGTTTCTCCTCCTGGGATTCTCTGACCTTCCAAACCTTCAAGGGTTTCTCTTTGGCATGTTCTCCATAATGTACTTGATTATCTTGATTGGAAACAGCTTCATAATTGTGATTACTAGAATTGATCCTGCACTACAGAAGCCCATGTATTTTTTTCTGGCAAATTTTTCTTCCCTGGAAATCTGTTATGTATCAGTAACTCTGCCGAGGATTTTGTTTAACATTGGTACTCAAGAGAGAAGCATTTCTGTGCTGAGCTGTGCCACACAAATGTGTTTCTTCCTTATGCTTGGAGCCACAGAATGCTTTCTCCTGGCTGTGATGTCCTATGACCGCTATGTGGCTATCTGCAATCCTCTGAGCTATCAACTCATCATGAACCCAACAAAATGCACTCAGCTGGCTGCAGGCTCTTGGCTCGGTGGCATCCCAGTCCAAATAGGACAAACCTGTCAGATATTTTCCCTGCATTTTTGCAATTCTAATCAAATCAACCACTTCTTCTGTGACTTACCTCCCATTCTCAAGCTGGCCTGTGGAGACACTTCAGTGAATGAGCTTTCTGTCTACTTAGTGGCTATGCTCTTTGTTGCTGTCCCTTTTATATTGATCCTTGCCTCTTATACCAAAATCATTGCCACTATTCTGAGGTTGCCAACAGCCACTGGAAGGGCAAAAGCCTTCTCCACTTGTTCTTCTCATTTGCTTGTGGTGTTTTTATTTTTTGGATCCGCTACTGTTACCTACTTGAGACCGAAGTCCACTCATTCTCCAGGAATTGACAAACTACTCTCTCTATTCTACACCATTGTGACTCCCATGTTCAACCCCCTGATATACAGCCTCAGGAACAAGGATGTGATTGCTGCAATGAGAAAACTGTTACTTATAAAATAGAACCAAGAGCTTTGGAATAAATGTTTAATTGCTTCTTACATAATTACTTAAGAAATTGGTTAAATTTTATTCATTTCTTCAAAATACTTTATTTCTCAGAAGTGCCTTTGTCATTTTGAATAATAGTTTGATTTATATTCTATTTTGAACTATCTTCTACATATTAATCTGTCAACATTTAACAAAATATAAAAAGAACATGGTATTTTAATGTGAATGTACAATGTAAATTACATATTCTATTGTAAAATTTTGAACACAATACATGTTTTAGAAATATGTTATAACTGAACAGAAAGATTATATACCTAATTTAATATATCATTATCCAATGTTTTGATATTTTCTCATTCAGCTTTCAACAGACTTACCAATAGTCTTTAATAACAATATGTGTTAAATAAATTGTTGTATGAATTAAATAGATATTTACTATTAGTATTCTGTGTCTAAGAGCTCTGACAACCTCTGGATATGCCACATCTTACACATGAAATAACTTTTCAGTCTATTAAGAATATATAGAGAATTCATTAATCTCTATTATAAAAGCTATTTTTTGTTCCCATGTGCTTTTGGACAGTGCACGAAGATCTTGATGATATATTTTTCATATTTAACTTCTAAAAGTTCTATCCAACTTTCTGACATTTTAATAACCATGGTTTTCAATGAAGTTCACAGTAAGAAACCCTGAAATCTAGTATGTGAAGAATAAAGGAGAGTAGTAAAAGGCATGTGCTAACATGGCTTACTGGGTAAAAGAGCTTTCTTTGCAATATATATCCTGAGTTTCAATACCCGTCACCTAGTTAAATATATGGGAGGGTCATAGATATTCCTGTACTGTGGGGAACAGATAAGAGCACGTCTGAACCTTGTTTGTGGTCAGTCTATTTCCAGTTATATAAAAGGAGAAAAGAGTATGGAGAGCTATACAGAAGGACACTAAACATTCTCCTCTAGCCTCAGTGAGAAGACAGTCATGCACTAAGATAAGCATGATTCAACAGCTCACATATGCAAGCACATATAAGCACATTCACGTATGGTCGTAAGTCACAATTTTGGGGTGACTTCTGCCAGTCTTCTAGCTACCGCGGGCCCATACATTCCAGGGTAGGAGCATGAGGATTAAAATTATTAGGCAAAAGGAACAAAGATAGAGGAGAAATAAGAGACAGACACAGAGGATAACATTGGGAGGGACATCCAGTATATATTGAAAGATGCCCACATTTAATATCCATTTGGTTAAATATCACAACCCCAAAGGATAGGAATAGTAAAAAAAAATGCATTAACATGATACAAGGAAATGAACAGACTGGCTGAAGAATTACAGGCTACATTCTCAGTTAAACATTCTGTTGCCAGAATAAGACAAGTAACACTCACAGCCTAGACCAAAACATTCTGTAGGCAAACCAGTCCCTGCTTGGAATCCATAATTATCTCCCTAAGAGAGTAGGAACCTAGTTGGGCCCTTAGCTTTTTACTTAAGGTAGAAACCTGTCTACTTTTTCAGTCACAGTCCAGCTGGCCTTGGTGAGCTCCCAATAGATCAGCCCCACAAAACCGGACTCTCTGAACATGGCGAACAATGAGGGCTGATGAGAAGCCAAGGAAAATGGCACAGGGTTTTGATCCTACTTCATGTTCTGGCTTGGTGGGAGCCTAGCCAGTTTGGACGTTCACCTTCCTAGACATGGACGGAGGGGGGAAGACCTTGGACTTTCCACAGGGCAGGGAACCATGACTGCTCTTTGGACTGGAGAGGGAGGGGGAGAGGAGTGGGGGGAGGGGGAGAAGGGAGGAGGGGAGGGAAATGGGAGGCTGGGAGGAGGCGGAAACTTTTTTTTTCCTTTTCTCAATAAAAGAAAGAAAGAAAGAAAGAAAGAAAGAAAGAAAGAAAGAAAGAAAGAAAGAAAGAAAGAAAGAAAGAAAGAAACCTGTCTACTTCCTAATGCCTGAAATACCAGGGCTGGATATTAGCCACTCCTGTTGACAACAACCTTGAAGTAACAGAAGTTCCAACTCTCTGACCTTTAGTCAAGATAGAATGAATCCATACCTATGGGCCCTGTCAATGAATTTACATAGAGGCATGCACACATACACACACACACACACACACACACACACACACACACACACACTAGAACACACATACATACCTCAAAGTCATAATGTTTTAGGCTTTGATGTTCTGTTGCTCAACATTTATAGATATCCTGAGGTACTTCAGGGTCATTGGAAACAGGTGGGAACTTCTTAAACCCATTTATTAATATAAAAACATTAGAATTTGATAAATAAATGTCTAATTTCATCTGAAATATATTGCCTTTATGCGACATCAGTGGATAGTTCATTAAAGTTCAAAATAGATCAAATGATGAACAATGAACTAAAACTGTTTTCCTAGAACATATTGTAAACTTTTTGAAGTCTTTTTCATGAAATATGTGAGGAAAACTGTTACTTGTCAAATGGCAAACATGTGCTTGTTTATAAATCATAACACAAGCATCCTAATTAATTATCCTACTATTTAAACTAGAAAAAAAAGAAGTGCAACTCACAAACAGGCAAATAAAAATAAGCAGGTAAACTGATTTAAGTTACCATTTTTGATTAGACAAACTTATTAAGAAATAGATTATTAGGATAGACACCATTGTTATTGAACTAACCAACAGTCTTTGGAAAAACTGTGACCTCACTCCTTCCTCCAATAGGATGAGACTATTGAGGATCACTGAGGGTTCACATGATTATGTGTGACAGCTTCCCACAGGCAGCTCTAATGACATCCATAATTTCCCTCAGAGAGACAAGTGCTTCCAGCATGGTTCTCACCGAGTACAGATAAAACAATACACAAAGCTGACCAACAGCTTTGACTTTAAAGGGTCAAATGTGTGAAAACCATCATAAACATAAATGATATCCAGAAACTCTGTATTAAAAACACAAATAACCTAATAAAATATATATGAGTAGATGTTTCTAGGACATTAAGATGCCTGATAGACAGATGAAAAATTCTTCAATACTTATTCACTAAGGAAACCCAAATAAAAATATCATACACGTTAATATTTTCTAATTTAAAATAACTAAAATGAAAGATAATTGATAGAATCTGAGGGAAATTATTTTTTGAGTATTTGTGACAGAAATATCAATTACAAAGTCTATTATATAAAGATATATGTGAGTTTCTCAAATCATGAACATTAGAATATCATGTTTTATCACATATATCATTTTGCAACAAGTTGTGTCTCCTACAGAAATCCAAGAAGTGCTCTGAGCAAATGCCTGAGCAGCTGTTTCCATGTCAGCAAAATCCATAATAGCCAAAGTGTTTCAGGAATCTAATGACCAATAGCAACTACACAGATAGCGTAACGCTGTGGCAGGGAGAATGAAGCTATTACCTGGAAGAAAGTCTTCTCATTTGTGACCACATAGAAAATGTGAGGGATGTTGACTTGTGTGATATAAGCAAGACACAAAATACGGAAAACCTAAGTAGAATGATGCGGGAAGTCAAGCATAGGCATTCATAGTAGGATGAGGGGCATAAGCGGTGGGAATAGAGATTAGCCAAAGGGTTGGCAAGAAACATTGAAGCAGAAGACTTTATTGGCCTTCAGGATGAATTACAGACACTATACATGATATCACTTTATTTCCATATAAGTAGGAAAACATCTTTTATTAATATTTATCTTTAATTGAAAAATTTAGATATGAATAAATTAGCAATTGTTCAGAAATAAATGTTAGATGAGTTCACGATTTTACATCCTAAGACCATAAATAAATTAACATCAATTTTTTATAGTTTGAATAATTAATAACAATTTCTTTCCTCAAAGGTTATTCAGTTGTCTAAATCATTTTGTTTTAATATCCACAGTTTGAGAATTTGTCTTAGCATTTTTTTTAATTTTTTATTAATTTATTTATTTATTAATTAATTAAAGATTTCTGTCTCTTCCCCACCGCCGCCTCCCCTTTCCCTCCCCCTCCCCCAATTAAGTCCCCCTCCCTCGTCAACCCAATTTTGCAAGATATTATATTCTCTCTCTCTCTTTTTTTTTTTTTTTTGTTTTTTCAAGACAGGGTTTCTCTGTGGTTTTGGAGCCTGTCCTGGCACTAGCTCTTGTAGACCAGGCTGGCCTCGAACTCCCAGAGATCCGCCTGCCTCTGCCTCCCGAGTGCAGGGATTAAAGGCGTCCGCCACCACCGCCCGGCTAAAATATTATATTCTCTACCTCAAAAATGTCTCTCTGTTCATTCATCTGAGGGCTTAGGAATCCCTTCACATTCACTAACTTTTGAATGTGTACCTAAAACATTTATTCCTGGTTGGTAATACAATTTCATCCTGAGCTCTGCCACAGTAGGTCCTGCATGAAGTACCATTACTAGCTCCTCCTACCTTTCTATGACTGTTTTAGTGTCTTCTCAACGAGTAATGAATTTTACCAAATATCGTTTGCTCTCATAGTACAATAAGAGACAATCTGATCAAGAATGATTTTCCAAGGACCATCAAAATTATTAAAAGTCACTATTTGGTGAATAGCATGTATATGTGTTGTAGAGACCTAACAAATTCATCTCCAGTGAATATATTCTTTAAAATAACTTTTATTCAGTTTTTCGCAATATATTTACACCATATTCTTGTCTCATTCATTGAAGATTCCTAAAGTTTCTAAATATTAGGAGCAATTGTCACTTTAAGGCCTGAAGTTTAGTATATATGGACTCCTTTCACAAGGATTTTCTATTAATGCAACTTGACTTCATATAGATTCTCATTAGTCCTATTAAAGTACATTTTCTTTGTTAAAACTATCACACAGGCAACCCTGTGCATACCAGGGCACAGAACCTATTATAGTATACTGGCTGGAGACAAAATACATGCTTACAAGCAGTTTACTGTCAATTACGGCTGTACATAGTATCCTCATACT